TATATAAAGAACTAAACAAGCTGAAAAGCAGCAAACCAAGTAATCCACTTAAAAAATGGGGAACAGAGCTAAAGAGAGAATTCTCTGTAGAGGAATATCGAATGGCAGAGAAGCACTTAAAGAAATGCTCAACTTCATTAGCCATTAGGGAAATGCAAATCAAAACAACCCTGAGATTTCACCTTACACCCATCAGAATGGCCAAGATGAAAAACTCAAGGGACAACACATGCTGGAGAGGTTGTGGAGAAAGGGGAACCCTTCTCCACTGCTGGTGGGAATGTAAACTGGTACAACCACTCTGGAAATCAATCTGGCGCTTTCTCGGACAACTAGGAATAGCGCTTCTTCAAGATCCAGCCATACCACTCCTAGGCATATACCCAAAAGAGGCTCAAGTACACAAAAAGGACATTTGCTCAACCATGTTTGTAGCAGCTTTATTTGTAATAGCCAGAAGCTGAAAACAGCCCAGATGCCCCTCAACTGAAGAATGGATGCAGAAACTGTGGTATATCTATACAATGGAATATTACTCAGCAATGAAAAATAAGGAAATCATGAAATTTGCAGGTAAATGGTGGGACCTGGAGAAGATCATCCAGAGTGAGTTGTCCCAGAAGCAAAAAGACACGCATGGTATATACTCACTCATATAAACATACAACATAGAATAAAGCCACTAAAATCTGTACATCTAAACAAACTAAGCAAAAGAGAGGATCCTAACTAAAATGTTCAATCCCCATCTTGAAAGGCAAAGAGGATGGACATCAGAAGAAAAAGAAAATAGGAAACAACCTCGGAACCTGCTACAGAGGGCCTCTGAAAGCCAGAAGAAAACAGGAAACAACCTTGAAAACTGCCACAGATGGCCTCTGAAAGCCTCTGCAGTATAGACTGTCAAAGCAGATGCTGAGCCTGATGGCCAACTGATGGGCAGAGTGAATGGAATTTTATGTAAGAAGTGGGAAATAGTAAGAGCTGGAGAGGACGGGAACTCCACAAGCAGAGCAACAGAACAAGATAATTTGAACACAGGGAACTTCCCAGAGACTCATATTCCAACCAAGGACTATTCGTGGAGATAACCTAGAACCTCTGCACAGATGTAGCCCATGGCAGTTCAGTGTCCAAGTGGGTTACATAGTAATGGGAAGAGGGACTGCCTCTGACATAATCTGATTGGCCTGCTCTTTGATCACCTCCCCCTGAGGGGGAAGCAACCTTACCAGGCCATGGTAGAGGACAATGCAGCCACTTTTGATGAGAACTGATAGACTAAGATCAGAAAGGAGAGGAGAACCTCCCCTATCAGTGGACTTGGGGAGTGGCATGCATGCAGAAAGGAGAGGGAGGGTGGGATTGGGAGGGGAGGAAGGAGGGGCTTAGGGGGGGATACAAAATGAATAAAGTGTAATTAATAAAAAAATAAAAAAAAGAAAGAAAGAGCATGTGGTGTGAGAGCTAAGGCAATTAGTCACAGTACTTTAAAGACAGTAGGAGGAGAATTACTACAACATCCATTACACAGTGTCTTCCATGGTGGCCTGGGTTATATTGTGGGATGCTGTCTCAAAATTTTGGGAAAAAACAATCACTTAAAAATGAAATATCAAATTGTGCTAGCCTATGCAGTTACCCATATTATTATTTTTGCAACTGTTCATATCCTCACTCAATTTGAATTAATTTGCTGCAGTGTTTCTTTTAGCTTGAAGAACTAATATAACACAATACTGAAAAAAATGGAAACAAGTTCTCCAAAATAAACCAAAATATTGTTTATATGAAAATAGCCATATTTTCATCAGAAAATGCAGAAAATGATTTCGAACAATAATGTGTCAAAAACAAGACAAATTCTTACATATCATGCTCACTGTAACTTTGAGAGCCTAACACCATCTCATGATACTTGTATAGATTTAAAAAAATAAATTTAATATATACTATCACTTGATTTGTAACTCATGAATCAAGCAATATGTTGGTATTGTTAATCAATGAGAAGCAATGAAATATTATTTCTATATTAGCCACATAATATAGGATAAACACACTAAAATCCATACTCCTAAAGAAGCTAAACAACAAGAAAGACCCTAGGGAAGATGCTCAATTCTCACTCAGAAGGACAAATGTGATAGACATTGGAAGCAGGAGAAAACAGGGAACAGGACAGGAGCCTACCACAGAGGGCCTCTGCAAGACTCTGCTGATGAAGGTATCAAAGCAAAGGCTGAGATTCATGGTCAAACTTTGGGCAGAGTGCAGGGAATCTTATGAAAGAAGGGGGAGATAGAAAGACGTGGGAGGGAACAGGAGCTCCAAATGGAGACTAACAGAGGCATAAAAACAGAGCCCTGGGGTCCCTGAAGAGAATGATACCACAACCCAGGACAATGCATGGAGAGGAACTAAAAACCCTAGCTCAGATGTAGTCCGTAGACTCAGTCTCCAAGTGGGTTCCCGAGTAAGGGGAGCAGGGACTTTCTCTGGCATGAACTCAGTGTCTGACTCTCAGATCACCTTCTCCTTGGGGGGCGGGTGCAGCCTTGCCAGCCCACAGAAGTTGATGATGCAGACAGTCTGAAGAGACATGATAGTCTAGGGTCAAATAGAAGGGGAGGAGGACCTCCCCTATCAGTGGACTAGAAGAGGGGCAGAGAGAGAGAAGAGGGAGGGAATATGGGTTTGGGAGGAGACAAGGGAGGGGGACACAGCTGAGATACAAATTGATAATTGTAATAAATGGTGATAATAAAAAATATTCATTTATTTATTTTTATAATTTTTTATTTTTATATTAATCACGTGCTATTTTCTTTGCACCTCAGCTGTAGCCCCCTTCCTCATTCCTTCCCAAATCTACACTCCCTCCCTCACTCCTCCCTGCCCCTTTCCAAGTCTACTGATAAGGGAGGTCCTCCTCCCCTTCCATCTGACCCTAGCTTATCAGGTCTCATCAGGACTGGCTGCAAAGTCCTCCTTGTGGCCTAGCAAGGATGCTCCTCCCTTGGGGGAGGGGGAGTTCAAAGAGCCAGCCATTGAGTTCATGTCAGAAATAGTCCCTGTTCCCCTTATTAGGGAACCCACTTGGATACTGAGCTACCATGGGCTACATCCGAGCAGGGGTTCTAGGTTATAGCCATACATGGTCCTTGGTTGGAGATACAGTCTCATAAAAGACCCCTGTGCCCTGATACATTTGGTCCTTGTGGAGCTCCTGTCCTTTCCAGGTCTTTCTAATTTCCCCTTCTTTCATGTGATTCACTGCACTCTGTCAAAGGTTTGGTTATGAGTCTCAGCATGTGCTTTGATACACTGCTAGGTAGAGTCTTTCAGAGGCCCTCAGTGGTAGGCTCCTGTCCTGTTACTTGTTTTCTCCTACTTCTAATGTCCATCCCCTTTGTCTTTATGAGAAATGATCATCTTTCTCCTGGTCCTCCTTCTTGTTTATCTTCTTTAGGTGTACAGATTTTAGTGTGTTTATCCTATCTTACAGGTCTAGTACCCACTTATAAGTGAGTATATACCGTGTGTGTCTTAAAAGGAAATGCATGCCTTATAACAATACCTGTCTTAGAGACAGAAATGAAGTCTCATGTATTTCTCACATTTGTCTATTTTCCTAGCTACTTTTCTAGTGCTGTGAAAAAAAAATATTACAACTAAGACTACTTATACAAAAGAGATTTTATTGGAGACTTACATTCGACGGGCTTGATGGTAGGGAGCCTGACAGCAGGCAGGCCTGCATGGCACTAGAGCAGTAACATGAAACTCACATTTTGATTCACTGGAGGCAGGAGAAGATAAATGGAAATTATATAACATTTGGAAACCATAAAGCCAGTCCATAGTCAAATACTTTCTTCTATAAGGACACACCACCTGATCCTTGACAAATAAGCCCAACTATGGGAACCTGGTATTCAAATATATCAGCCTTTGAGTGCCATTCTCATTAAGCCACCACAGCTATTAATTGGAGACACATGATTGCAGGATATATCAGACCTCAGTAGTGTTGATCATATGATCTACAAACACATACCAACAAAGAACAGATGATTTAATTCTTCTTTAGAGAAACAGAAACTTTTCTTATTAATTATTAGGTTATGCCTAAACCAAATCCACCAATATTCCTATTGTGCAAACACTAGATAAAATATAAACTTTCTGTCACCAAATTCACTAAACAAAGAAAAAAATAGCATTAGAAACAACACTAACAGCACAATCACAAGTGAGTGTGGGGTGATTCAAGTGTGTGTATGTGTGTGTACATGCTATCTCTGTAAACTGTTAAAGTTATAATCCCATGATAATTCTTCTGAATACCATGCGAATATTCAGTAGAGGCATACAAAATTGTGAATGTAACCACAGACTTAAGATATTTTACAAAATAAAATAGGACTAGAAATAAGTGAAAATGCATGACATTCAAAAATTGAAGAGCAATATAAATTTAATCCATCACCTATAATTTCTTTAAAATGAATAAATAATATTCTAATTAGACATAAAATGTGTTTAGGAGAGAAAACAGTCAAACTGAAGATATATGGTGTTTAAAGGCATGCTGACTGACTGCATGACATCAATTTTGTTTGCAATAATTTTAGGTTCAAAATATAGAGTTAAAATAATAACAAGCAGACAAATGTCCAAACACACAAAACGAACTAAGCAAACAAAATCCCAGCAAACCAACAAACCAAACACAGGCCACAGACAAATAGTTAAATGTGTTCCCGTTTGTATAATATTAGTTCCCTGGAAATGCTAAAGACATATTGAATCAATAGAAATGTTGCATGGGGGAAGTGAAAATTAATGAGTTTTGTACTCTAAAAACTACTTTGTGTGAATACAGGTATACAGTCTAATGTTATATATATATTATCATGAGTTCTTTGCTCATAAAATACTAATATTTATTTACTTATATTTTTACCACATTTTATTAAAACATTCCATATAAAATATCAAGTACAAAGTTTATATTGGTCCTTAAAGATTCTTAGAAAGGCATTTTTCACTTCTTTGTTTCTAAAGCTGTAGATCAAGGGATTAAGCATGGGAATCACCAAAGTATAAAACACAGAGGCTATTTTATCAGTTTCAAAGGAGTGCGTGGAATTGGGCTGCAAATACATGAAAAGTAGAGTTCCATAAAATACTACCACCACTGTCAGATGGGATCCACAAGTTGAAAAGGCCTTTTTTCTTCCTTCTGTAGAACGCATTTCATATATGGCCAATAGAATCAGAAAGTAAGATACCAAGACTACAAAGAGGGAGGAGATCAAATTAAGTGCTGAAAATAATATGATCAATAATTCTATATCCTGTGCATTTGAACACAATAACAGCAACATGGGGACATTGTCACAGTAGAAATGGCTAATGACATTAGAACCACAGAAAGTCAGTGTAAAAATCTTACTAGTTATCATCACAGCCTGGAAGATGCTGTAGAGATATGGGATGCCCACTAGAACAAGGCAGCGTCTGTGAGACATGATCACACCGTACAGCAGAGGATTGCAGATGGCCACGTAGCGGTCATAGGCCATTGCAGACAGAATAAAAAGTTCACTGATGATGAAAGCAATGTAGAATGCCATCTGTGTGGCACAAGCATAGTAGGAAATGACATTTTGATCCACCACGAAATTCACCATCATCTTGGGGTAAATGACAGTACAGTTGCCGAGATCAATGAAAGCCAGGTGTCTGATAAAGTAATACATAGGTGTGTGAAGGCAAGAGTCCAGCTTGGTTAAAACGATCATGCTGAGGTTGCCTAGCATGGCAACTGCGTAGATGACTAGGAAGACCCCCAAAAGCGGAAGCTGCAGCTCAGGCTTGTATGTGATTCCTGTCAGAATGAATTCAGCTGGCACTGTTGAGTTCCCCTGCCTCATTTCAACCTTCTGAAAAGATACAAAATTGCTATCAACTTTTGCATAGAATCATTCAAGCAAATTCAAAGACATGATTAAAAAGTTACAATTAATGGATCATAGAAAATGGGTTTAGCAGTTCTCTGGCAGAATTTTTGGGGTCACTTGTGCATATGATCATGTCTTCTGTGGATAGTGATAGTTTGACTTCTTCCTTTCTAATCTATATCCACTTGATCTTCCCTTTAGTTGTCTCATTGCTCCAGCTAGGACTTCATGTACTATGCTGAAGATAAACATAGAGAGTGGGCAGCCTTGCCTTGGCCCTGATTTCAATGGTATTGATTTAAGTTTCTCTCCATTTAGTTTGATGTTGGCTATAAGCTTGCTGTATATTGCCTTTACTATGTCTAGGTATATGCCTTGTACCCCTGATCTCATCAAGACTTTAAACATGAAAAAGCATTGGCTTTTGTCAAATGCTTTTTTTGCGTTCTAAGGAGATATTCACGTGTTTTCTTTTTTTCAGTTTGTTTATATGGTCTGTTATACTGATGCATTTCCATATGTTGAACCGCCCCTGCATGCCTGGGATAAAGCCTACTTGGTCATGGTATATGATATCTTTCCAAACTGGTACAACCACTTTGGAAATTAATCTGCCACTTTCTCAGAAAATTGGGAATAGTACTACCTCAAGACCCAGCTATACCGCTACTGGGCATATATACGAAAGATGTTCAACCATACAACAAGGACCTTTGTTCAACTATGTTCATAATAGCCAGAATTTGGAAACAACCTAGATGTCCCTCAACTGAAGAATGGATAAAGAAATTGTGGTTTGTTTACACAATGGAGTACTTCTCATCTATTTAAAGCAAGGAAATCATGAAATTTGAAGGCAAATGGATGGAACTAGAAAAGATCATCCTGAATGAAATAACCCAGAAGCAAAAAGACATGCATGGTGTATACTCACTTATATATGTGGATATTAGCCACATAATATAAGATAAACATTCTAAAATCTATAATCTAAAGGAGCTAAACAATAAGGAGTACCTTAGGGAAGATGTTTAATTCTCACTCAGAAGGAAAAACAGGATAAACACTGAAAGTGGCAGAGGAGACCACAGATGTCCTCTAAAAGACTCCAACTAGCGGGGGATCGAACCACATGCAGGAACTCCCAGCCAAACTTTGGGCAGAGTACAGGGTGTCTTACGGAAGAAAGGGAAGATAGAAAGACCTGGATGGGACAAGAGCTCCACAAGGAGAACAACAAAGCCAAAATAATCTGGGTCCCAGGTGGACTGCAGAAACTGATGGATCAACCAAGGACCATGCATGGAAAGGACCTAGACCTCCTGCTCAGATGTAGCCCATGGGCAGCTCAGTCTCAATGGGGGTCACCTGGTAAGGGGAAAGAGGGCTGTCTCTGACATGGATTCAGTGTCTGGCTCTTTGATCACCTCACTCTGGCAGAGTGGCCTTACTAGGCTTCAGAGAAAAAGGATCCAGACAGTCCTGATCAGTGGACTAGGGGAGGGAAAGGGGGAAAAATTAGGGAGGGAAGTTGGGACCAGAGAAGATGAGGGAGGGAGATACAATGGAGCTACAAAGTGAATAAATTGTAAAGAATAATAATAATAAAAGAAAATTAGTTTGATATTTGATTTTAAATATTAAACAAATATGGGAAGCTCTTCTTTCTTTATTTTTTTTAAATCTTTTATTTTTTTTATTAATTACACTTTATTCATTTTGTATCCCCCCATAAGCCCCTCCCTCCTCCCCTGCCGATCCCACCCTCCCTCCCCTTTCTGCATGCATGCCACTCCCCAAGTCCACTGATAGGGGAGGTTCTCCTCTCCTTTCTGATCTTAGTCTATCAGTTCTCATCAAAAGTGGCTGCATTGTCCTCTACTGTGGCCTGGTAAGGCTGCTCCCCCCTCAGGGGGAAGTGATCAACAAGCAGGCCAATCAGATTATGTCAGAGGCAGTCCCTCTTCCCATTACTATGTAACCCACTTGGACACTGAACTGCCATGGGCTACACCTGTGCAGGGGTTCCAGGTCATCTCCACAAATAGTCCTTGGTTGGAGTATGAGTCTCTGGGAAGTTCCCTGTGTTCAAATTATCTTGTTCTGTTGCTCTGCTTGTGAAGTTCCCGTTCCCTCCAGCTCTTTAATGGTGTAAAAGGTGTATATTTAGAATTACCCAGGTGGACTCAGTTTAGATGATCCCAGTCTTGTTAGCAACATCCACAGACACATAAAGAAGATCTATATGCCTCCACTTTCCGGAGGCCCAAGACCCTTGGCTCTGGAGGCAGCCCAAACACCCTTCAAATAGTTTACCCAGGAGAAAGAAGCTTGACCACTGTGCCATCATCAAATTCCTCCTGTCCACTGGGTCAACCTGGAAGCTCTAATTTTTTAAATGGAGAGGTTTTTGTGAGATACACTCAAAGTTATTTAAATTCTTACTTCAGTCAAAGATAAGATATAATTTGCATCCTAATAGCTGAAAGAAAAAATATCTTAATATTTTGCTGAGCTACTGGCAGCATTCAATAGATTCTGTACAGAAATATTAGATGTATTTTATTTTCACTAGAGGAACATAATTTTTCTTAATAATTTTTATTTACATATGATAATTCTCATGAGGCTTTGATATTCATAAATATAGAGGTGGAAATAATATGAAAATAATGACATTTAAATTTAGTTTTGTGACTTTTAAGGTACTGTATAGGACTTGTAATGATTACCTCAAAAAGGTCCAAGTATGTCAAACATACAAAGCAAGGAATATGTTTGTCTAGTACCAAACACTCAGCCCTGAAAGCATACATACAAGAAACATTATAGGTAATGAACAGGATACATTTAAGAAATATACATATTTATCTTATTATTGTCATATGTGGTTGTTCCATGCATATATATATACATATGTATATGCATATATGCATGTAATAACAATTACTAGAAAAGTAGTCATGAATTTGAAGGAGAGTAGGGAGAATTATAAGGGAGCTTTTGGAGGAAAGAAAGAAAAGGGATAGATGTAATTATATTATAGTCTAAAAAATAAAATTCAATTAAACTCACTTTCACTTTTTGTTCTGAATTCTTTCCATTATGTTTTAATTGAAATCATGAACTATTTATGCAAACATTTGTGGAGTCCCATTATATTGTGATTGAGTTGATGATACTGTCTTTGATAATTACTGGGAGCATTTATAATATAATAAATTATTGAGAAATATGAAACAAATTATAGTCTAATGTAGATGATGTTAAAATACTTATTATGTAGTCTTTGCATATGATATTCCATTAATAAAATTAGTACAATATGGTGTGCTGTTAGGAGTAGTCACTACACAACTGAATTTCATTTTTTTTCACTCTGACTAAATATTCCCCTTTATTGTTCAACTGTATAACTTCTTTGTTTGTTTTATAGAAGATATTTTTACTACATTCCTTTCTCTCCATCAGCTCCTCCAGATACTCCTTACTTCTATAGCCATCAAACTTCCATACCCACCAGGTACACAAAATGTCAATTTTTACTTGCTGATACATGTGATTTATTTTGTTATTAATGGATCATTAATATTTAATTATATATAATTTATCTTAATAAAGTTTTATTAGCAACACTCAAGCTTATGTACTTTATTATAATAATGTTATAATAGTAACACTATTAAATGTATTTACCTTATTATGATACAGTTATAATAGTAACACTATTAAGACAAACATTGTCATGAGTCTCCAAGTCTTTTCCACCTTCATGATGGCAGTGAGCATCCATTTTGTTCTATACTGATAACTGTTTATCTACAAAATTTTACAATGGAGAATGTATTATTTCTAATATTGCATTAAGAGTTAGCATTCATTAACATGGAAATGCAGTAATATACGTGTAATCTATTCTAAATAATGACAGGAAAACTAATTCAGAGCAATGTTTTGAGTGCACCTCCATTCATACTCAGAGTTACCGCACTGAGACTCAGAGACAGACAACTGCCACGTTCAGTGAAAGAAGAACATGGGCATTTATATTCAGAAGCCCCTCGGCGGTGGCACACGCCTGTAACCCCAGCACTGGGGGAGGCAGAGGCAGGTGGATCTCTGTTAGTTCTAGGCCAGCCTGGTCTACAAAGTCCAAGACAACCAAGGCTACACAGAGAAACACTGCTTTGAACAAAACAAAACAAAATAAAACAAACAACAAAACAAAACAAAAACAAATTCAGGAAGTCCACCTCCACGATACCTGGTTTTACTTGGAATAGTAACAGTGCAATGCGGTCTGTGGTGGTTGGCAGCCTTCATGGGAATGAGCCCTTCCCCAGTGCTGGGTTTTCTTTCCGAGGAGAGTATGTGGCCTGGGGAAGAAGGTGTGTCTGGCATACCTCTATGCCATCTTCCTAGCTGAAGTTGTTTGCTGACTCATCACTGAGTCCTACTCTTATTTGAAAACCCTTCTTCACTCACAAATAACAACAAAAAACTCCAACTCTATTAATTTTTTTATTTTAATTTGCTAAGACACAGAGCCTGCTACATTATTTTACTATGAGATGTGTTGATCTAGTAAAATAATTAAGAATCAGAGCAGCAATTTTGTTTTGCTTTGATGTGTTTAACTTGTTCCAACAGTTCCTCTAAACGATTCCTTAAATCTTTTCTGTTGTTGTTTGTTTGTTTGTTTGTTTGTTTGTTTGTTTGTTTGAGACGGGGTTTCTCCATGTAGCCTTGGCTGTCTGGAACTCACTTTGCAGACCAGACTGGCCTCCAGCTCACAGAGATCCACCTGCTTGTGCCCCTCCAGGTGATGGGACTACAGGTGCACCATTGTGACTGGCCCCTTCCTTGAATCTGCATCTGTCTGCATTTTCAGCGTCAGTTATATCCTTCTGAAGATGTCTGAGTGGCAGCACCTTTCTCATCTTCTTACTTGACAATGAAAATCTCAAATTTTTTATATCTTATTTTAT